AAGGTTGGGTCTAAAATCGAAATGCTAGAACTTACATCTATCTGCTTAGTACATGCAACAACAAATACTAGCACTAACTTTGAGCACGTTATATTTATTTATTTGTTAATCACCTCTAGCTTAAGACCAAAAGATCACACTTTCAGTTTCAAAAGTAACTGAATGCGACTAATTCTCAGTTAGTAACGTAAACCCATTGATTACTAGACGAAAAATTAAAAACATTTTCAGAAACGAAATATGAAACTGATGATTTAAACAAACTTTACTCATAGACTAACTTTTGTGTTTTCATCTCTAAAGTGTAATCAAATAAATGTTCAGAAGTTCTCAAATTGACTTATTTTGATATGAACCGATTTATGAATGTTGTACACATATGTAAATAATATACTACAGTTGCACGTGCTGACTTTTTTGACATAAACTCTGTTTTTTAGCCATCTGTGAAGATTAAAAAAAAACTTGTAGAAAGGCCATCCTACTCCATTGTTTCAATGAATCACAAATTGATTTTCAACATAAATATTCACAATTTAACTGATTTTGTGAGACTTTCTAAAAAATATAAATATATACAGAGAATACTGAATTAATTATATTGAATAATTAATCGGGTCAGTTGAACACAAAACAATAAATTCGGATCTACATAATTGTATTAATGTGATTGTTTAAAAGATGTGATGAATAATTGCATTCACATAATTGTCAACATTGTTTCACTCAGTTTTTTTTGTGGATTTGTCTTTTCACTATTTTTTTTTGTGTGTGTTAAAATCCTTCCTTTTTTTAAACGTTAACTTATGTCTGTAAAGAAGTGTGAATTATTAAAGTGTTAAAGTTACAACAATGAAACTCTATTTTTTTTCTTATGCGTGTCGTCTCAACTACCAGATGGTATGTATTGAAATTGTAATATATATACATGTATGTAGCGAGATAGAGAATGAGACTGTCTACTGTCTCTTACTTCATTATTTTCTTTATAATGTCCAGATGACCTCACATTCATTCAGTCATCATACATACATACATAATGTTTGTATAAATTATAATTTGAGGTTAAACAAGTTGAATAAGTGTGTGTGTGTGTGTGTAAATTTATATCTACACTGCATTACCATATGGTTTAAATTCCCATCTACTCAAAGATGAGTTGAATGCTTTTTTTTTCTAGTTTTAACAATTATGAATAATCCACTTATTATAATACTCTCATAAATGATCAGTGTATTATACAAGTAAAAAAACTATCACATTTGGGTCTCTGTCATATAAAAAACAAACAAACAGTGACAAATGATAAAGAAAGTAGTTATAACTGCAAAATTTATTTGTCTACCAATTTACACATGTATTCAATAACTCTAGGTCACAAAGTAATCCATGTATTACACTTTAATATCAAATAATATCTAAAGAACGAGTACACACAAGTTTATTCTTTATCAATACTTTTGTATTGTATGGATAATGTCGTCGCTCTTTTTTTGATAAAATAGCAATTTTAGCCACAGGGGAAAAAACAGAAATGAATGTCTCTAAAAGAAAGTAAGCGATATATATTTATATATATATCTACATGTACATATATAAAATACATCTTGACCTTATGTATTATGTATTTCTGGTATTTATTAAAAGGCAATTGTTTTATACACTTTTTTTAACATTTATTGGTAACTAAGATGAATATTTCTTGCCATTATTGTTTTTTCCCTTCTATTCTTCAACTTTCCATATTTCAATACTCATGAAATATACTACTTATGCGACCCTTTCTATCCAAAAAATAACAATGAAAAAGAAAAAAAATTGATGGTGAAAATGGGACACTCCCTGTGAGTTGAACAATTCAATTGACAAAGTGTGTTATTGTTATTCTAAACAATCATCATCAGCGCCAATACCAAATCAACTCATTGATGACAATCAAGCATAAACAAGTTGATTTGTCATCATCATGGAAAACTTCTGAATAACAAATTTTTAATTGAAGTCGACGCTATGCAGTAGAAAGAATTAACATTTTACTGGTTACTTTAGAGAAAAAAAATATCATACTAACAAAAACATTTACTTATGGTGTTTATGAAAGTTAATTGGTGACTATTAACACACTCACCATTCTTAATCGTGAACCTCTTGATATGACTGAAAAGATGTCTTTGATTCATAAACAACTTATCTGACTGACAACTCAGTTTAAGTATGGCTGAGCAATGTAATCAATTCTCATTTCTGAGCACTAATAAAATGAGTTCGATCATCTTTAAATGAAATAGTCAGTAGTGCTTAAGAAATTGCCATATAATGTAATGTTATTCTAATTATCACACATAAGGAGTAAATGTGATATCATTGCTTGGAAAAGATTCTTTATTCTCTAATCTAATTCAAGTACTGAATTCAAATGCAGTGAAAAGTAGCTTAGCATATTTTACATTAAAACCAGATTCGAAATGTATTACTTGCTTAAAAAAAATTAACCTTTTATATGGTATAAATGTTATGTATACAAAAAGTTGAATATGAATAGAAGACTATGGATAAACTCAACCATTATTGTTATCTTCTAAACTGTTCAATACTATGAATTTTCATTCACAAAAAAAGAGTACAAATTAAACTAGATCAGTGATATCAATTAAATTCTTTTTATCTCAGTTGGGAGTATACAACTTCAGAAGAATAATCTACATACAATTCTTCTATTCAGTAGTCATATAAGGCATGCGTACAAAAAAATATGTGTTGTTAATTTAACTGGTAAACATTCTCACCATTTTTTTAAAGAAAAAAAACTAATTATTCGCTTTATTTTACCAGATTAATTTTTATTATTATGATTATTATTATTCTTACTAATCATGCACAACATGTGGTCGATATAATCTCTGCATACTATCCCACTTTTCTTTCATGTTTCAGTGTTTATTCTCGTCCATATTCTACTCCTTCTTCTTCTTCTTCATCTTCTTCTGAAAGTTCTTTCATATTTTAAACATAATTTAATTTTCTTTATTCTTCAATGTTGATACTACTCTCACTAGATTAATTAATAATTTGGCTTTCTAAGCTCCTTTTCTCAAAAACAGATGTCATAGAAAAAAAACAATCATCTTATAAACAAACGTATAATTTTCATCAAAGTGTTTAATCATTTATGCATAATTTCACTAACGAGCATATCGTTAAATGCCTGAGTGAATTCATCAAATTTAAATAATAATAATAATAATAATAATAATAATAATAATAATAATAATAATAATAAAGGGATACAACAGTTTGTGGAACAATAATGACGACAATCTGAGCTAGAATAATCTCGTCTATTTCTGTGTTGTATGAATTACTTAGGTTGAACAGTGAACACTTTATTATTATGAACTTGCATTACGGGGCTGTGAAGACTGTTAAGTTACACATTTGAATTCATGAATCGATCAATGTTAGACCACCATCAGAAACCTAGAAGCACTGGAAGGCCGTTTCGTCCTAGTATAGGACTCGTCAGCAGTACGCATCCACAACTCCTGCACCTCGCAGGATTCGAACCCAGGACCTTCGGTCTTGTGCACGAACGCCTAACTTCCGGACTACTGAGTCGGTATCCAATGGTGTTATTGTCTAACTTGGATCAACTCACGAAGCTGTAAAATCTCATACACTGTCTTCGGCAGTTACTGTTTACACATGAACATGTTGAATTTCACTGGTCACGACTTCCTACTAGAACTCGGGGATTCCTCACGGAGCTAGTCAATAGTGAGCACAGGTAACTGCATTGTGAAGTTATCATCGAGAAACTTATCCTGTTAACTAGAACCGTCAGTTCTTAGAGAATAACTCGCTGATACTACACTTGAGTTGTTCAAGACTATTTTTATATTAGATTATGTAAATAACCAATAAATTTTTTGAATTTATTTTCTCACTAATCGGTTCATCTAACTGAATACAGTTAACCCTGTTAAAATGGTTTGTGTTGGTTAAGTTGAGAAAAATTTTACCTGGTACGTTAATAAAAACTTAGTGCAAGAATGAATAAGACAGCTTTCTATCATTCAGATCAGTCTAACTGAAACTCTATCAGCTTTCAGATCAATATGAATGATACATAATTACTTGTTTTGTTGAACAGTAAAAGTAAGTTGAACGTAAATAAATCCTTGGCCAACTTTTTAATTTTTATTGCTACCTCCTTAGGCAAATTTGACCACACCAAAATTTTGATTCTGATTTGTAAATCTTGTAATCGAAATCATAATAACGTATATATTTTAATTTTGTTAAAATCACCTTTCAACAACATCCTATCTAATATTGAAAACATTATAACTGTCTTCTTAGTATTATATATCAAAAAGAATCAGATACACTATATAGATGACTTGTTTGATAACCTCTATAGCATAACTATCGAAGTATATTGTTCTGCAACTCCGACAAAGAATATTTATTACCCTTCCATATTTCATATATTATAAGAAATTACACATGAATACAACCATATATATATTAAACATTAATGCTGAAGGTACTTTATTTACAAACAAATAAAAACTAAATGCATTGAAGAAGAAAAGAAAATATTTAAACTGGTTGTTTAGTTTCATTTTAATTCTGTTTGAAATTAATTTCTTCGAAATTTATCACTTAGCTTTTAGCATCATTTCAATGTTTTGTTTTTGTTTAGGGAATCAAGATTATGGACGAGAATAATTCTTCGAAAAGGAACACATTAAAATGCAACAGTTAAATTTCGACAGCTTGACAGTGTGATGACTACAACAACAATGTAGGAATGTAAAAGGCGCTGATTTCATGATGACTGCTTTTACAGTTGTTATAACTGTCAATAATGAATGCATTTTATACTGTGATGGAAAGAAAAAGTAAATAATTAATAAATTCTGAAAAAATAATGCTTTCTTTGTGATGTATATTAATGACAATTAAAGAATATTGTATTTGATAAGAATAATTGAGATTTACACTTCTAAAGATGATTCCTCGGAACTATCACATGATACTTGAATCTGGTCTGATGAAATATCCAATTGGTTAGGTGGGGAATTATTACAGGGGTTTTCTGTGTCTTCTTCGTTTTCATCCATTTTTTCTTGGCTAACTTCCAAATTATGTACAGATCTTTTCCTGTTTACTGTAAATTTCTTTTTATGTTGTAAAGATGTTGAACGAGCACTTGGATGATTTAACATCTGTTCATATGCTGAAGATAATGTTTTATCAGTGCTCAATGAAACTGATTTCGCATCACCTTCATTATCATTAAGCTTATTTAAATTGACAGAGTTTTCTTTATGTTGGCTGAGAACAGTATTAATATGATTGTTGGATTCACTTGGTATTTTCTCATTGTGACTGTTTCCAGAATAAAATTTGCCTTTTACTTCACTGTCATCACTTTCATCATTGATTCGAGTTGAATAATGCGATAAATCTGTCTGTAGATTTGTTTGCTGTTGTTGATGTTGTTGTTGTTGTTGTTGTTGTTGTATTTGATTTGAATACCATTCAAACATTTTTTGCCATATTAATGTTGTTGATGGTGATGACGAAGATACTGGAAAGGATGGATTCGTTGAAAGTGCATCGTTAATAATAGGAGAATTATTATTGATAGTACTGGTACACTGTTGATTTGTTGATTGAGATAAAGATAAATTCTCAGGAAGTAAATTATCTTCAATAATCCTTCTGTTAAAGTAATTAGTATTTCGTGCATCACTATGATGTTGATGCAGTCTATAATTCAACAATTTATTTGGTGATATTATTGAATGTGTCAATGATGATGTATCAAATAAAGATGAATTTATAATTGGGCCAGTTTTTAATATTTGGGACATTTCAGAAGGTTTTATAGGATTAGTTAATAATGAAGGGAATGGTGAGAATATTGGAGGAAATAAATGTTCAGTATTATTATGCATTTTCTGAAGTATTTCATTTGGATTTTTTATTAAATTTGACTGTTTTGTTAAATTACAAGGAATTTGTGAATTCGAATTTATTTTTGATGGACTAAGGTTAAAGAAATTTAGATTGGCATATTTCAAAGCATCATTAAAATTGAACTTATCATGATTAGTAGCTGATGAATGTTCAAAGAGATTAAAGAGGTTTAGATTCATTGGTTGTGATACTGATAACTTTGGTAGATAATTCATTGATTCAGACGGTTTTAAATCATGAACTGTATTGTTATATGGAAAATCAGGACGTTGTGATGTAAGATTGGAAAATTCAGCGCGTTTACTTCCTTCTACACCAAAAACGTCAAGAGGTAAATTAAACAGATTTCTTGACTGTAAGTTGAACTTAAAATCATTTATCTTGTTATCAGAGAAAATGCTAGGCTGAATATTGGAAGATTTCTGCCCTAAAACTGATGGATGATTCATTTCATTTTCATTTAAATCCGTTAATTCATGATTTAAACATGGCTTTTTAGGATTTTCATATTCATGATTTACTTCACAATTTCTTTCTCTTTTTGTAGTCAAAAAACTATCATTATCTGAACCTGGTGACCAGATATCACTTTCACCTTCACGTGGTGATGAATTGTGATGAACTTTATTGCATTTTATACCACTATCATATTCATCTTTTTCATAATTTTCAAATTTTTCTTTTGTTAATCTTTCTTCTGTAACTGGTATACAGAAACGATTAACATTGAAAGCCGATTGAAATCTTGATGAATCCGAATGCGATGTATGCCTTCTTCCTCTTCCATCATCATTATTATCTTTTCTATCTGTATCATCTGAACTGATTTCATTATCCGGTTCTCCATCACTATCAGAGTTATCCAGTTGTCTGAAAATAGTCAATAGATTAAACAATTGTGATTATTATTACTACCTACACACAAGAATATTCAACGAAACAATTCTATCAGTTATACAAAAGTTATGAAATATGAGTCAGAATTATAGAATTGACATTATAGAATTCAATCACTAGGGTCACCTCAGTGCTATGTAACTACGACCCTACACTGGATTTGGAAACATGTATGACACTGTTAAATCACTGAGTCGGAATCCAACAGAACACATCATACCGAAATTGTTAAACTGTGGTAAAGCGTTATTCTAGTTCCTTATCATTACTGAGTTTTAATATGCATCGGATTGAATGAACAAAAGACAATTTTTACTGAATATAACGCTGTATGAATTTAAATGTTTATCAGTTATATTTATATCAATCTCACTAGTATTTACTATAATTCACTCAGATGACAATGTACTGATTCTTAGTGGAATAATTTTTATTATTCTGTCACTTAGATAGTGTAGATTAGTGTATATTATTTCAATAAATATTAATGAACAAAGCACAGAGAATATTAAAAATATTTTTGAAGAGAAACTCCTCAAAACTGAAATCAGATGAAAGATTTGAAAATTAGTGAAATACTTAATATCTTACTAGTTTAATAGAAGCTTAGTTAGTGTTAGATGGTACGGTTTGACTCGACAATTTACCTATACCATTATTATACAATTGAATGGAGGAATAGGCTGTTCTGAGTTTACCAAAGATCCGATCTACAGGTCAATCATATCTAAACGGACTGTGTTGTTTTTCATGGTATCAGCATCATATTAGGCCTATACTGTATTGATATAGGGCTAAAATATGAAAAAAAAATTTTGTTGCGTTGTGAAGCTTTTTAGTCTAGGTAGTACGATATAGCCTTGAGGAATAATTAAGATACCATACTACTATGAACGCAAATGGCTACATAAAATATGAAGATTGACCAAACAAAACGATAACCAAATTACAAACATTTGAAGTTATTTATGGTATTTCAACTCGTTTTTTAAAATTTTTATAATCCTTAAGATGTCCTTATACATCGATTAATATCAATGCAGAATCAAGTAAAATTAAACGACAGATATATGTACAAGATTTTATGAATATCGAAGACTCCATCATAAAAGTTTTTTATTGATGAATCATCCTTTAATTTGTATTTGAGGACTTTGGGAAGATCTACAATAGGAAAACCAGCAAGTGCCATGGTTCCGTCAAAACATGGAACTAATGTCAGTTCGCTATCCGCAATAACAGAAAATGAAGCTATTTTTGCTCAAACATTTTTTGGTTCAGTGAACTCCGATAAGTTCATTCATTTTTTTGATTAATTGATTAAAAAATGCAATCGAAAATCAATTTTTAAGAATTGCATTTTTTATCCTTGATAATTCAAAGATCCATGTCTCTAATATTACCAAGAATTTTTTTGGTGGAAAGGGAGCAAAGGTTATGTTTTTGTCCCCTTATAGTTAGTTATATGCTTAATCCAATTGAAACTGCATTTTCAAAAATTAAATCCATTGTAAGAAGATCACTGGCAAGTGGATTTAATAAATCATTTACAAATCTTATATTAAATTCTGTACATCAATTAACCACAAATGATTTACAAGGTTATTCGAGGCATATACGTGGCAGTTGTTTAAAAGCGATTGCTAAAGAAGACTTTAATTTAAAAATATTCTTTTTATTTTTTAAAAAACATTTTAAAAAAACGATGTGGTTATTTTAAAAAAACAGTGTGAAAATTCTAAAAAACGAGTTCAAATACTATACCTGAGTTTGTCCAAACTAATAGATTGGCTTCGAGTAACATGACTCATTATTAACAAAAACGTAGGCTTCGATTAGAATGGATGCTTATAAACTCCAGATTCCACTAACAAAATATTTTAACTGAATATATTAGCTAGAAGGTGATTTAAAACTTTTGTCAATATTCCTTTTGAATTTAAACTGATCTGATTGCGTGTACATCAGCGTATTGTCGATACTTTTATCATATAGAATGAACATAGGATTTTCCCATAGTCTCTGTTAATTCATGTTATAAGTTAACCAGTTTCTTACACTATTTACAACTAGCAATATAAAAAGTTCTGATCAAAAAATGGTATTATATTCTAACCTACGAAGAACTTAGTCTTTCCGCTATTCGAAAAATAGTGTTTTAAGAGAAATACTCAGTAATCTACAAACGAGAACTTGAAATAAACTCATAAACAAGAATTGATACTTTTCTTATGGTAAGTTTACAAATGATCATCATAATGAAATCATTAAAAAAGAATTGAAGATAAGGAAAAAAACTAGATAATCAATAGATTATTACTAAAAGTTACTCTAGATATACCCATAATTTATAAGCTGTAATTTGTTGGCTTATACATTTTTAATTTATGAACTTATTTTACTTAAGCGATCTGATTTAATCCTTTGAAGTGTCCATGAACCCACTTAACTGAATATGCGACTGTTCCCAGTGAATATTATGAAAAATAACATCATTTGTGAGATAATTTTGATATACATATTGGGCTATACAGTAAGCAGATTGGTCTGATCTTTGATTCATGAAGTTTTGCTGAAAACAAACTGAGTTTTACCTATGGTTGTTTTAAATATATAGCTAGGTAATAAGTTAATAATGTTGAAAGTTTAAGAATTTGTTTAGTGTTATGAAAGTGTCATTCTCATTGAAACAAACCGAATAACTAGATATGAAATAATTATATACTGAATTCTATAATATTTTACCAATACTGATAATTTTATTCAATCTACTAACATATCTTAATCATGATGTGATTCATTTGTTCACTTTAATCAAAGTTACTATCTGAGTAGTGATGACTGAAATAATCGGATCATGTTTTCCTTATTAATTATTAATATCACTCACTGAATACGCATAAATTTGTTGTATACACCACTGATGCACAATTTTGTATGCATATACTTCCGTTACCATTTGGGTTACTGAAACGTAAGTAAGTGAATCAGAGTGAACATGTAGTCCACTTATTAGAAGTCGAATGTTTCAGTCACTCAACCACCAAGCCTCTAACACAAAAGTCATCAGGTAAATATTTACATATCTAATTTGTTATAGAACAGTAAACTTTTAAGCTCATTATTAAATAGTAATCAGTTTTTATAAGTTAGATTTTTTAAGTACTTCATATGAAATACAATACAAAAAGAAGTAATATCACTGAATCATGTTTTATTCTTATAAGTCTAAAAAATATTTCAAAGTATATATTGTTTTAAATATGAACAATTACTAGGATATTTATTGAGTCTTATCTCGGTTAAACTTTACTTGTACATACGCTTAGATAATATTATAGTTTTCTGTGTACTAATATGATCAACTGATTAGTGAATTAATAGGTTCCGTTGTCAGTTTTTTTCTATTTAAATTCATGAATCGATCAATGTTAGACCACCATGAGAAACCTGGAAGCACTGGACGGCGGTTTTTCATTTAATACAAATACTATACAGTTTAACTAATGATGTTTTACATTTATTTTTTGTTTTTATTAAAATCAGATCACTTTTGATTGACTGATTTATTTCAAAATGCATTTCTACAACCCAACAATCATTCTGTCAACTATGATGCAAACACACTGGATGAATTTTATCCCAAAAAGAATTAATAAGCAAACAAACAAAATCAGCCTCTCGGTAATAATGCCCAGTCGACTGTTATTTATACCATAATACTATATGTTACCCTATAATTGTTGTGTTATCCTAGCCTGAGGTGAATGTGGCGTTTTTTTTTCATATAGTTTGAATACTGGTTACTATCCAATTAATGCTAAAATCAACTGATCAACCGATCATCAGCACATAAATGATTAGAAAAAATAGATCAACAGCAAAGTAATCTTAGTCCATTGACAGAATTCTGTCAAATACAACTTCAGGGCATAAAATAGTTTTAGAGTTTAAAATACAAATTCAATGTTATTGAATATGTTAGATAATCTTTTATTTTTAACATGATATTAATTACTAACATTTCAGTTTCTATCCTTTAAAAAAATTTAGATTTCTATAACTAGAGATAATCCCTAAATGAAATAAACAATATCATATCAATAAAACAAAAAAAATGGAAAAATTCCACAAAAACTTAATTCTTAAATACATAACTTACGTTAAGATTTAGTTATTTTATGTATGTCATTCACTAAACGATACTAAATCATAGTCAACTTGGAGTGATATCTTTAGCCTCAAGTACAACAGTGAAGAATGTAATATTGAACAATTATAACGAATATTGCAGTTTGCCGAATAAGTTACTCCATTTAAACAATTCAATGTATTAGTTTGTCTTTGGACTACTTTAACAGATTACATTATTAAAAAGACGTATATAGCAGTGATTTTCGAGTTTCATTTAAAGCTACAACAGTTTGTGTTAAAAAAAACCTTACTTTTATTATATTATTTCTAAAGTTACTTCTGAAATTATGTTGTTACATAGTAATAGAACACAGCTCTTTGAAATAACAAGTATGTCGGAAATTCTTGATGTCTGAATAGATTTTAACTTATTGTCGAAAAATCTAGAATTTTGTACGCATTTCGAAAACCTTAAAATTAATCAGTGAATTTTTTGGACTTACAAAATAAATTTTAATAACTGGTTTATTTAAATACCATAATCTACCGTTCGGTAACTCTTATTTTATCAACAGTTGATTATTTTATAAAAAAAATGGGAAACACTATTTTATTTTCAAGTCAATTAATTTGAATACATTTCAAGTATTTTTGAAATGTTTGAATTATCAAGTTTTATTTATCGATTTAAACGAGCATATTCGAAAGACAAAATTAAGCTAATTCATATAGAGTATTTGTAGAACACTTGTAGGCATCTCTAGCTTAGTTGACATATAGGCATCCTATTGGATTATTTCGATGTAAACATTTTGTGACAAGTTTCATGTAATAGAATACATCTATCTTATAACAAACACTAATAATAAAGTGATTATATTGACATGGTCGGTACAATATAAACATGTATCAACTAGGACTACTGACCAACATTACTTATCAAAATATATTTACAGTAATTTAATTATATCTTTATTAGTCAATGAGACAATAAAAAGAAAGTGTATAATTTTAGAAAAAGCAGGAAATAACAGTTTTCGACACTGTGCATTACGCTGAAATTGAATACACGCTACCGTAAAAGGATAAAAATAAGAAAATAACATTTAGAAAATTCAGTGACTATAGCCTAAACTCTCTTTTGATTATTGTCTCAACAAACTGACAGTTTCAATGCTTTGATTTAAAATCTGCTTAATATTAATCAAGTTTTATGTAAAATAACTTAATAGTATGATCATACTATTTATTTCTCCATCATCATTTACAGTAGTTACCAGTTAAAGGAAAATGATTCTTTACAAAAGAAAGCTACCATATTTAAATCATGTTCATTTAATTTTTTGCAGTAAAACAAAAAGGAAAAATATATGGACATATAAAAGAATAATCACTGAAAAGCAGTTAGCTAATTTAGATAAATGCTGTAATTATTAGTAGAATTATTTCAAGTGCATGATTCGTTTGTCTTACTAAAGAATAAAATATCATTTTAAATCAAGTTTCTTCATGAAGTTGTATTGGGTGGAGTGATATTTAAATTTGAGTATCATTCGGTAGTCCTTTAATTCTCATTTGTAAGTATTTGTAAAACTCATATGTATTACGATTAATTCAGTTATCAATATCAATTAACAGTAGGGACTGTTATATCAACATAATAATTTTTATTAGATGTTAGAATGTTTTAATCTAATGGGTTATTCATTATATATGATTAAACATTTCCATGTTCATATTGAACTATTGAAATTTCATGAAGAATGAGTTACTTTGAATTCATTATGTTAAGTATTAGTCAGTAATATATTTAGTTTAATTTCATTCATAGATGAATAAAATTGATATTTCAAAATTTATGATAAGATTTTCAGTTTGAAGACCAACTTGCAGAACAATCGTTAAACCATTTGACTAATAAAGTGTGACTAATAAAGTATGTCTGTAATCGGTTCACAAATACATAATCTGTTAAAGAAAAACTTAGAGAGCAGTTTATATTTACTTAGTATTTATTCACAAACCAACAGTGTTCATACTCTAAATCTATTATTTAACTCTTGTAAGAGTTAAAATTTCATTACTTCGAAAAGGGAAACAACTATTTTTTTTCTGCAATATATCTGTCATCACGGACTGACAGTACTTATCATGAAGCTTGAATTTGCTGAGTCTGATCATTTTTTCGAGGTCCGTAAATCAGCATTACTTAAGATTTTCATTATTTATTAATTCTGAAGAGAGGTGACTTGCATTAAATCATGAAACATCCGAAATACAAATTTCTATTCATTGGGATATCGATAAGAAAATTATAATTATTTTATTATTGTCAAGCATCTCATGTTAATACTTCTTAGCTTTCAATGATCGTTTAATGAAGCGCAGTCTTCAATGTAAATCGTAAATTTTTGAAGTGATTGAAAAGTGTCAGATTATATTCGTTTGTTGTTTTATCAAACTACAGTCATACTTTACGAAAATATACCAGCAAAACAAGTGAAATTCAATATTATCCGATATGTAATTAAAAATTAGGGACCGATAGACGCCATAGTTTAGTACAAATTATATTCACAAACTACCACTATAATCCAGAAAGAATTTAACACTTTGAATTTTAGCTGATTATTAAGGATACCGTTTCAGAGACTAAGCTTTTATTTATTAAATTGTATTCAATGAAATCTTTATTTTAAGTTCTGATTAGAGGTCAGAATTCAAATTAACGGTGAGAAATCCTCAAAATGTCTTTCTTCACTATAGTTACTAATCACTGTTGTAAATAATACCAAGTACAAATTCGTTAAACACTGAATAAACCCAGAAGAAGCTGTATATTTGTAATTTGATGAGTAGAAGTAAATTAATAAGTTGCTTGCATACTTGTTAAAATTGACCAGATGATTACTGATGGACATACTGTTAATTAAATTAGATCGCTAAAACATTCTTCATTCTAGTTTCCACGGACTGATCTAGAAGATACTGTTACGAAACAAGTAAAATCTAGACTTCATCTGACAACTACGCTACTCTCACAACGAGCAAATGAAAAGGATGCAACTGATTGTATTTTACTCAATGAATTAGTTGAACTTATGGGCCGGAAAAAAATTAACTACTACTTCTGACTGGAATTTTGTGGTCATTCCTGTTTCTGTATAGCTGCATAAATCATAAGTCTGTTACTTAATTAACAAAAGTAACTTACTGATTTTTAGCTGCTGCTGCACGATCACGTTGTCGTCGATTTTTGAACCAGTTACCAACTTGTGTTGGAGTTAAACCAGTTGCATTAGCTAATTCACGCTTTTTCGCTGGACTTGGATAAGGATCTTGAAGATACCATTCACGTAATAAACCTCTGGTACGCTCTTTAAAACAATGTGTTTTTTGTTCACCGTCCCAAATTGTTCTAGGCATAGGAAATTTCTTTCGTACACGGTATTTATCAACTGGACCAAGTGGACGACCACGAAGATTCTCTGCTTCTTGATAATGCGCTTCAAGCCATAAAGCTTGAAGTTTAACATGGGATGATTTAGAAAATGTATGTCTTTCTAAAATTGCATACAGTTCACGAAAATTTCTTGTATGAAATGCTGCAAGTGCTCTAGCTCTTAAAATTACTTCACTTTTATTCAATACTTCCCATAAATTAGGATTTAATGGAAGTGACCATAAAAATCGGCTAAGGTGTTCAATATCACCTGCTTCTTCAAATGTCTGGCATACTCTAATAATTTCTTGCGATGAAAATGGTAAAGAACTAGTTTGAAATGATTCATTTGTAACATTAGTGTTAGGTTTAAAATCTGTTTCTTGTTTGTCATGTTTACAAGGTTTATTTGGTGTACTGGTTGCATAAGTTGATTGATGTATTTCACTTGATAAACTATTCACTTTAATAGGTGATGTTATTCTAGAATTACTTGTTGTATTACTAGCAGTACTTGATAGAGTTGATACTACAGGAAGTGTGATTGTTGATGATATAAGTGATTCAATTTCCTTTTGAGTGATATTATTTTGTTCACGATTTGACAAATTAGGAGTTGGAAGTTTTTCTGGTATACCAAATATTGAAGGTTTTGGTAACATACGATATTCATCGTAATCTGACCCCATATGTACACGATCAGCTTTGGCCATCATTAATGTGGAAAATAATTTTTGCGGATTTAACATCCAATCATAGGCTGGAGAAGAATTCATGTTCAATAAGTTTATATTTTGTTTATTGTGGTTATGATGATTACTGACTTCATTGTATAAATTAATTTGAGAATTTTTATCATTCAGCTTATGTCCATCACCATCATCTTTTGTATCATTATTCAATTCTCGAATGTAACTATTTGACATGAATGCAAGTGAACGATCTGATAGTAAATTGGAATTTTTCAACTTCATATCCGTACTTGACAATGATGTTACTGTCATACTATTTGTTGTTGTTGTTGTTATTGATGGTACAGGTGTCATCATTGTGTTCATAGAAGCAACAGTTGACAAATCATTTCCATGATGATGTAGTGTATTCGAATTTGGTAAGTTCATAAGAGAGAATGGTAAATAGTTGGATAGAAATCGTTTCAATGCTTGTTCATCTGGTAATTTGTCAACAAAACCTATTTCTTGAACATTTAATTTAGCAGATTCCATTAGCTCAGATGTAGCCATCATTAAAGTAAGTGAAGTTCTGATATGAACTGTACTATTGCCTGCTTTAAATAATAGATCATCGTATGACTAGTATTTTTATTATTATTACTATTATTTTTATTATTATATTATGATTGAATTCATCGGTGTACCACTTTTGTCTTTCTGTCCTCTGTATTTTATTACAACACGACAACAACAACAACAACCATACACCATTAAATTGGTATGAAATGGACAAGGCATCAAATCAAAAATGATACTATAATCCTGTAAAAAATATACATATACCATATCAAGGGATGCTATTTAAAATCTAACAGAATTGATCACGCGAATTTCATATCTGAGTAACGTGAGAAATCGGCACCACCGATATCCATTGGAAAAGGAATGAAAATGATTGGACAGACAGACAGACAAAAATGAATGTTAGTGTGGGGTATGGAATTGAAAACTTAAAATTAAAAGATAATAAGTATTACAAACTGACATTGTGATATTCATTTCTATTTCTCACCCTCTAACCAAAGGAATTTTATTGGATAATTTACTATAAGAGAGAGAGAGAGAGAGATAAATGATTCCAGTCTGGATGTATCAACAAATATTAGGATATGATAATAAATAGAAACAGAGAAGGGTAGAAGATAATTTCAGATAGAGAAACTTGATACACACGCTATAAGTGTCAATGGGTCACATATTCAAATGGTTTTAAGTTTTTTTTCTCCATCTACCCCATAGAATCTACTGTTAATTTTTTCCTCTTTCGTTTTAATTGCTACGGTATATAATATAATGCAGAAGAAAAATCGAGAAAGATTAATCCTTTACTTCAACCCCTACAAAAATATTTAAAAAAAAAATCAACTATGATTTATTCAGATTTAAATTAAATTTCTGTTAGTCAACACTAAATTATGTATCGAATATACTGCTTGTCATACAATTGCTTAAATTAATAAAATATTAAAATGAATTTTCTTTAATGGAATGCTGTTATACATTTTGTTATAAATAAACAATACATCATAGTATGTTAAATTAAAAAAATATCTACAAATCAGTGAATCTTGTAACGATTTATCGAGTACACTGTATAGTAAACTTATTAATAGATATCAAAATGATATTAAACAGTTGGGTCTAAAAGAGTCAATTACAAAAAATTGTGACTTTTATGAAAATTACTTCAGTTACAAATACATGTCGACTGCATGTATGATCTTTAATTCAAACGTGTGTACCTAAAGTTCAAAAAATAACTAACTAAATAAAAATACTTTATCTTGTATATGCGTTTTTAATGAAAATCAATTTTACTTAAAAACTATTTAACACTACCCAGTTATCTCATTAATTACTCGCATACATACGTATGCTACTCCCAGTGGAGCATAGGCCACTGACCAGCATTCTCCACCCTACTCTATGCCTGGCTTTCCTTTCCAGTTCTGTCCAATTTTTGTTCATGCTTTTCATGTTTGTCTCCATTTCTCGGCATAATGGACTCCATGGCTTTCTTCTTTGCCGATGGCATTGAGGATTCCAGGTGAGGGCTGGCATTGTGTCTGATCCACTTCCAGTGCTTATTCCTGATTCCTTCCTTTGCTGGGATTCGGTTCGTTCCATCATGCAGCAGGTTGTTGTTGTTGTTGTTGATGGTGTTTAGTTAAGGAATCCTCAGTATCTTGCGTAGAAAACCATTAAAAAACACTTGTATCTTGTGGATCATATCTTCTGTGGCTCTCAAAATTTCCTTTCGAAACAATAGGACATTTGTGACGTTTGTATTGAAAATTGTGACTTCGATGTTGGTTGATAGTTGTTCCGAGTTCTAGATGTGCACTTGTGCCTTCATAACAACAGATCTACCTCCCTCATCACTGATGCTGACCAGATATTCAAAGGTTTTTACATACTCCAAAGACTCTCCGTTAAGTGTGATTGTGTTGGTGCTCACTGAGTTGTATCTAACGAACCTGCTTTTACTCATGTGCATGTTAGAGCCTAATGCGGGCCGTTTTCATCTACATTTGTCGCTGTGTGTGCGATGGAATTTCTGATCTGCAATGTCCAAATCGCCTGGCTGAATCCGTAATGTACATTGTATTCCGTGTTTCAACTGACATGCTGACGTCTCCATAATGCAGTCTGCTGCCTAGAGAAAGAGAAAGGGTAACGGTAAGCAGCCTTATCACACACCGATTTTCATTTGGAATGGATCAATGAGCTATTCTCCATGCACGATATTGTAGTGTAATCCATCATAAGAATTCTGTGTGGCGTTGACTATCATCTCAGGCAGACCACAGTACTGAAGAAGCCTGCATAGTGTCATCTTGTCCACGCTATCGAATGCCTTCTCACAGTTGATGAAGTTGATGTACAGTAGTGAGTTGTGTCCTACTGATTGTTCCACAATGACCCGTAGACAACCAACTTCAAGATCAACAGGACAGGTTCCGGAAGGATCGATCGTGTAACGATCGAATCATTCGGTTGAACAACACTGAGTTGATGATTGCTCCTGTTACTAGTAATAGAGTGGTGTCACTGACGTTCTCATACCTGCTGAGATTTCTTTTTTATGGTATTTTGATAAGGTGTCCTGCTCTTCAGTCTGTTGACACTTGTGCTTCCCCCCAAATCTCTCTGAAGAGAGTATGGAACATCTTTATATTGCTGCTATATCTGTTTTCAGTGCCTCAGATTACACCTTGTCGGATCCTACTGCTTTGCCACTCTTCATTTATCTGATGACCATGCTGATCTTTGCTATTGTTGGCGGCTCAAAATAAATTAGGAGGTCCGTGGGTGTTGCTTCAATGCTGGGTCGGTTCATTAGGGCTGGTCCATTCAACAGTTCTACAAAGTGCTCTATCCACCTGTTTCGCTTTTCTTGAATATCGGTGATCACTTTGCCCTCCTTGTTTATTCCTGGTGGTTCTGGTTTACAAAATTTTCCAGCAAGCTCCTTCTTTGTACCGTTTAGTTGTCTGATATTTCTTTATCTAGCAGCTTTTTCTGCTATCACTTCTAGACATTCCCCATCTTTATGTTTGTCAGGTTTAATCGGCGTCTCCACTTTTTGTTTGTCTCCGTGAATTCGACTTGTGTCTTAGCTTTCTCTGCCCTTGTTCGGTTGCGATCGATTGCTGCCTTCTTGTTCTTCAGTTATCGAACCTCATCTGGCGTATGCACAGAGGTCCATCCCTTGTGATGGTGGTTCTTGTGGCCCATAACCTTATGACATGTAGAAGTTACTGCCTTATTGATCCTTTTCCAATTTTTCTCCATGGTAGTTTCCTCTTCACTGACAAGATCATGAATGCTTGGAGCTTTTTGTCGATAACTGTCTTAAATTAGTTGAGTTTCCCATTATCCCATAGAAAGGCCTTATGAAAATTGTGTGATCCTATTTGACCAGTTGTCCTATGCTTCTTTGATTTCAATTTCACCTTGGCCACCACCAAGCGAGGATCTGAAGCTATGTAAGCTCCTCTCTTGGTTCTCACATTTTGCATGGTCCTACTGAACCTTTCATTGATGAAGATGTGGTCAGTTTGGTTCTATGTAGTGTGTTTCAATGAAGTCCATATCGCTTTGTGTGAGAATATGGTGAAACCCATTACCAGTTTGTTGAAGACACAGAGGTTTCCAAATCTCTCACCGTTTCCCAGTTATCTCATAGTGATCTGTACCATTCACGGAAACCAAACTGTTGATTCCTATTAAGATTTAACATCAGGATCCCAAGTAAAACTGTGATTATCCCAAGATTGTTGTGTGTGATAACAGAAATAAGTTATCTGAAAACTCCCAAAACATCCAGTCGGATCCAAAGTATCCACCGTTTCCCTATTCGTATCACTCTTTTAGCGTATAATCCTACGGTAAACAACCCCATACTCACAAAGGAATTATTTCACGTAGTAAACCAAGACTTATTTAGTTAAATGGATCTAAAGTGAAGCAGGTGTCCATCAATGACGTTAACAAACGATGTTGCTATTATCCTCATCCAGTATGACATCCAGGTATTCAGACCCCGTCAGCTTAATATCATCGTACATTGTATCAGACTGGAATATCCTGATTTCAGCCACATTCATTTAAAGTTCAACGCCTACATTAGATCATAATGACAAATATTTAAACGTTTTGTTTTCTGTAGCGTAATATGGCAGAAATCTATACAGTATGCTTATATTTAAACTTATTAGAATGTAACTTGTATTCTGTCTTATGAATTTTTTGATTAGTTTCTTGTGACTTGTTTTAATTCATTTTCATATTTTATGAGTACTGAGTTACTTATATGGATGATAACCTTATTCATGTTTAAGGAATTAGTTAATTAACTCATATCTATTATAAAGTTTAACATTTATTCATTTATTTTCATAATTATTTTCAACTGAATGAATCTAATCAATAATCTGTATTTAATAAATAAATAAATAACAATCAATTAGACAATTATTTAGTTGATATAATTTATTTTATTAAATTACTCCTTAGATTGACAATAATATCTTAATACATTGTAATGAAATAGATATTTTTATATATTGTTATATACATTCTTTTTGATTGATTATTATTCCGAATAATAATTTTCAAAATATTCTAAACACATAAATAACATTTACGATTGGAATTCAACTATATGTATATGTTTTCATTGAATATTGAACAGTACACAGGTATATGATTAATATCTAGAATGTTCTCACAGTTGAATTAGTTATACGCATAGACAAAAGGATACTTGAATTACGGGAATGTAATTTGCCACATGGTAAACATTTATCAAACATGTGCTTGATTTTTTTTGCAGCTTTGCAGTTCCGCAACGAATTGTTTTCGATATTTGCACGAAAACGAGAATTATCATTAATTAAACACCTGTCTATATGATCTTGAATACTATTTGAATTATAGAATTGTCCATTTCATGGAAGTTAGTCTCATTCACTATTTCATAACCAATATATGCACTTCTAACATCA